AAAGCCAGTTACACAACCCCGTGCTGTAATGATTTTGTGACAGTAGGACTCTTCTGCAGAGGCAGATGACGAACAAAGATTTTCATCAATGAGGTAACGTGATGTTCTAGGATTTTTACATCAAATTCGATTTCTCTCCCAATCGATTCTGCTGGATTTCATATCCTTCCTGCAGTTCACACACACAGGCTTCAGGTCTCCTTTAATAGAGCTCTGCTTCATCTGAGGCGTCTGAACACAATACAATCACACACATACACACACACAACAGGAGGATGACAGCTCATTTCTGCATTCAAATAAGCATCCACTTCCTTCAGTTTAAATTGGACCTGCTTTCCCTGTCAAACAACAACTGTGTTCCGTCTCGTGTTTTCCATTTTAAACCTGATTGTCACAAACTTCTTTGGCTGGCGGAAGGCACGTCAAATGAGTTGGCAGAGAATAATCATTTCTAAAAAAATTGTTAGTGGTTGTTGTCCCTACAAACTTTTTGCTGGGGTCTCAGTCATGCTTAAACCAGCCTAAACTAGTTATGAGTCTTAGCAGGTAGTGTTGCATGATTAATCGAAATAAAGGCAAAGTCGCAATATGGATAGTATGAATTATTAAATCGCAAAAGCTGTGATTTAATTAAAAAAGTATAAGCATTGTGTTTCAGAGTGAAGCGCAGCATTGTGTTTGTTCTTTTACACACTAACAGCTTGTGTTTTGACTGTCATAGAGCAGCTTGGTTTGAGGTAAATGCTGCTCTACACAAACTCATCTGTGCATCTGCTCTGGAGTTTGGGTTGGTTGTAACATGGATTTGGGAACGCAACATATGCTAACCGTTTTCCTATATTTGTAATGAGAAGCGTTTATAAACCGACTGTTGTCAACAAAAGAGAACCTAGAATATTCAACTTAGGTCAGCTGTAAATATTAGCTATATAAATTATTTTAAATAAAAATGATGATGATTACTATTATTACTATTATTATCATTATTATTATTATTATTAAATACTCATTTTTTTATTCTACAGTGAAAAAAATATTTCTTATTTTATTATTATCTTACAATTATATTAATATTTAATCACACATTTTTAAATAAATAAATAACATGATTAATCACATAGATTTTAAATCGCAATCACAAATCTTTTTTGATAAACTGACTGTTGTCAACAAAAGAGAACCTTAGAACATCCACCTTGGGCCAGCCGTAAATATTAGTTATACAAATTATTTTATATCAAAATTTAAAAGCATTATTATTATTATTATTATTATTAAATACTCCATTTTTATTTTACAGTGAAAAAATATTTCTTATTTTATTATTATCTTATAATCATATTGATATATAATCACACATTTTTAAATCAATCAATCACATAGATTTTTAAATCTGCTTAAAATTTTGCAATCAAAATTTTTTTGCGGAAAATCTTTTACATAAAATTTTGCTGACTTTTTGGGGGGGCAATTGTCAAATGGTCAGGCTGAGAGACCAGGTGGCTAACCATCTTAACATCAGTTTGAAATCTCTTTGAAATTCTGATCTCTAGATATTACCTGAGTCTTTCTTTCAATATACTGTACAGTGTAAGTAAATGGGCTTTCACCTGTTCTGTTATCCAAAATTATAAGTCCAGTCACTTACAAAGGTAATTGCACACCTCTCTCAGCAGGCCACCGGATTTGAGGTATCATTCACATCTGTAGCATAAATGGTTATGCGCTAAATTTTGAATAATAGTAATTTTGCCTCAGCAAACACCACTAATGATGCCGTTTGCCGGGTTGTTCTGGAATAGATGCAGAAAATCTGCACGTGTGCGACGGAGCACAAACTCACACCTGGTTATGGGTGTGAAAAGGTTTCTGAGAAGCTGCTTTGGATTTGGTGTGTGTGGTGTATGTGTGTGTATGTGTGTGTGTACGCCGTTCCCTCGAGTCTCCACCATGCCTGGTGTGAGATCCCTCTTAATAGCATTTGATTTTCTCCAGTGTGCAGGCGTGAATCAAAGAAGCCATTTTCCTCCCAATTTTCGTACAGTTTCATCCATGTGTTTTTCTCCATGACAAATCCAACGGTATTAAAAATAATCCAACAGGAGCCATATATTAATGCCATTCTATATTCTTAACCACTCTAATAGCTGATATTAGCTGGTGCGGGATGGGTTTCCTGTTGCGTGTTGTGACCCCTCGCTCGAGATGCTGTTTACTCAGAGATTCTCGCATCTGCCCTCGGCTGATGTGTTTTTGCTCGGCTCACATGCTAAGGGGGTGCTTTGGCTCAGGTCATGGATTTCCTTTCAGGTAATATTGGAGGCAAACATCAGGGCCTCTGAGTCTGTCTATGTCTGACGGCGGCGGATGTCTGTTAGGGCTGAGTTTCTCAGGGATCTGGGCTGTAAGCTAACTCACTTAAAGCTGAAGTGTATACTTTCTGCTCCACTAGCATCACTAAATGCAATTGCAAAAAGAAAGATTGTTTATCAAAATGAAAATTCACTGGTATTGGGATTGACTGCTAAAATGTTGTTAGTGTGACTATTCAAGAACACTATTCTGCTTCCGATAATATCAGTATTATTGATATTATGGGCAGGCAATTGATGATTGGTGACCGTTTGATTCATGTAAATGAATCTTTTCTGATACTGAATTTTAAGTTAGAGTTGCTATTATAGGAGTAGTTCACCCAAAAATGAAAACTGGCTGAAAATTTACTCAACCTTAGGCCATCCAAGTTGTGGATGAGTTTGTTACTTAATCAGAACACATTTGGAGAAGCGTAGCTCATCAGGATCCTCTGCAGTGAATAGGTGCCATTAGAAAGAGAGCCCAAACACCTGATATGTGGATTACTTGTGGATTATTGTAATGTTTTATCAGCTGTACGGCACCCATTCAGTGCAGAGGATCCAGGTGAGCGAGTGATGTAATGCTAAATTTCTCCATATCTGTTGTGATGAAGAAACATCATTAAAATTTTCCCTCTAGGAAACTTAATGGCCAAAAAGCACATTATATTCGTAATGTTGCATAATTTTGTTATAGAATTGCATGTTTCTTGAAAGTACTGTATCATCCAACACTAACAGTTAATATACTTAAAAACAAACAAACAAATGTTTGCTGCAATTAGGGCAAAAGCGATACATGCTGGCACTCTAAGTGGACAAGAACATCAAGAGTTTAATGGGATGTGAAAAAAACAAACTCTTGTGTTGTTGTGAATGCACAGAAGAGCTCTGAGAAAAGAATCTGACCAGCTTTCTGAACTCTAGTTCTGGATGAATACTGTTGTTTGTGCCAGGGGCGATTCTTGGATCTCAGTCTCAAGGGGACTCAAGCCCCCTACTTGAATGTGAGACTTTGTGGCTCTAAGAAGTAGTTTTCTTTTCAGCACGAGAGATCACAAGTACAAATCTTGCTTGATGGAAAATTGTTTTAATAAACTAATTGAACCTGCCAAACAATGGTTTGGTTGCACTTCATACTTTGATTTGAGAAGAGTACTGGAGTACTGGGCAGTGTATTAATGTTTATGATGTATTGATGTCTTGTGATTTGAAATAGTTCATCCCAAAATGAAATTTATGTCATCGTTTACTCACCCTCAAGTTGTTACAAACATATACAAGTTTATTTCCTCTATTAAACACAAAAGAAGATATTTTGAAGAGTGTTGGTAACCAAATAGTTGCCAGTAGCCATTGAATTCTATAATATTTTTTCCCATACTATGGAAGTCAATGGCTACCATGAAGTGTTTGGTTACCAACATTCTTCAAAATATCTTCTTTTTGACTCAACAGAACAAAGAAACAACTTGAGGATGAGCAAATGATGACATAAATTTCATTTTTGGGTGGACTATCCCTTTAACATGCGTGTTTAAGATGTGTATTGTAATAAAATACAATAATTCTATTTTTAATTAAAATGTATCAACTTATTTAGAAATCATTTGAGACAGTCAGTACGCTACGAAAATATTTTTTTTAGTGAATTGTTTGCATAAACTGTCAGAAATGTTCCTGGAACCCCTTGCATGGAATTGTTCATCTATTAAAATGTTTGTTTGTTTATATATTTACTATTTTGGTACATTTACACAGTTTTAATAGCGGCAGTACTGATTGACATGACGATGGCAAATTTTCAGGTTTGATTCAGCATTTCATTTGCATTTTTCTAATGAAATGCAGCATTTGTTTTAAAGAAGAGATCAGTTCAGTATTTTTATGATGTACAGGTTATATACATGGAGAGACTAGTTCGACTACTTTCAGGATTTCTTATTTCTTTCTTTTTGCAAGGTCATGCAGCTGGAAGCCTGAACATTTATAATGAATCACAGGTGATTCCAGGCTTTATTTAAGGGTGCTTAAGCCCCAGTCTTTCCTATTAGTCCCCTTAGAAATCTTAGGTTAAGCTGGCTCTCCGGTGAATGTTTTCTCAAATAATGGTTCTTAAATAATGTTATCCATTCCAGTGAAAATGCATATTTTAGGAACATTCACTTTATTTAAAAACATTGTTCGGACCTTTGTTGGGAGGGAAATGCAGAGCCTGGACCTCATGGAACGTTAATTGAATAGCGCCTGGATGAGGGTTCGAGCTCTGTGAGGACTTATTATTTTGTGTTTTTCTGCAGGGATTCTAAAGGAGTTGAAATAATTTGTAACACATTGAAGCATAAAATGAAGTGTAATTATCTTGGAGGAGAGGCGAGAACTCAGCCAACCATACATTAACACATGCTGAAATTATGACCTTCACATTCTTACATAGTCAGCTTCTCATACACAGATATTTATGAGCCAAGAGAGGATGCTAATGAATCTGTACAGAATAAGGATTTACGACTATTATTTATTCATGGGGAAATCATCATTATTATTATGCATATCTATTACTTGAACTTTTATATTGCATGGGTTGGTCAATCATGCACCTTGAAACCTTAGCTTTTCTTGCCAATCTCTTTCTGTCAGGTACCGTTCTTGTGGAAAACATGCAGATCAACGGTCGGGCTCAGGATCCAGATAGAACCATCTCCTTGACGCTGCTGGACAACTATGATTACTGGGTTATCCTTGACCCTGCACTGCAGAGACTGTATCTCAACAGCACCGGACGAGTGTTGGACCGAGACGTGAGTCAACAAACACGCACATTCTGTCAGAAATAACATATTGCTGCTGTTGTCCTTTGGCTGGCACAAACGGATACATATATTTATATGGCAGTCTGCCTGAAGGCTCTAAGACAAACAAAAGCGCTACAATAAATTCTGTCCCGATTGGCAGCAAACCAGCACACGTCACTGTAATGAGATCATGACAGCCACACAGAACTGCTACATTTTCTTAATCAGTATTTTACTCTTTCCAGTAACATATTTTAACATCCTTAAATCAAGATAAATATACTTATGCAAAATTGCATGAGATAATAAAGTCACCATGAAATCAAAATGGACTATTCTGGTTTTTAATGGAATATAATGGAATATCAAAGTGTTTATTATAAACGATTTATCTGTGCACATCATAAATTTTTTTAACTTCATGCGCCTTAGTAATCTTTAAGCAAAGAATGGCTCGCAACAACATCTCTTCTGTTCTCTGACGTCATGTTTATCGGCGGGAAGGTGGAACAGCCTATCACTTATTAAGGAAGAAATGATGATCTCAACATCTGTTTCATGCTAACTTAAAGAATTTTCAGAGAATATATCTTAAAGATTTTCATTTGCGTAGCAAAATCTCTTCTTGTTTGCTTATTTTAGCTATGAATTATCTTTTAGATTGTTGTTATTATTATTATTATATAAATTAATAATAATATAATTATCATTATATATATAGTTATATATAATGATAATTTATATATGTAATTTAATTGTATATAGTAAATATAACAAAATTAAGGAGGTATATGAAAATTAAATAATTTGAATTTGAAAATAATTAGTCATTTGTGTAAGAAAATCTCTTCTTGTTTGCTTATTTTATTTATTAATTATTTTTTCGATTATTATTATTATTATTATTCATTTATTTTTTGCTTTAGTTTAAATGTTTTTTTTTATTATTTAGTGAGGTTTTTGCGTGATAATTTGTGTAAAAATGTTTTTCAAAAGTTTGCTTCTTAATTACATTTATTGTATTTTACAGATATGTAGATATACTGTTAATTATAATAATTAGGTAATCAGTCATATAATAATGATCCTTTCTATTATTATTATTTTGTTGTTGTTGGTATTGTTTTAACCAGAAACCAAGACCAAAACATTTGTATATAAAGTTTTTGACTGCATTTTATGTATTTACAGTCACTTCAGATTCATACAATGTGAGCAGATAGGATTGTCTGAGACTTTATCTTTATTAAGATGTGTTTTTTATAAGGTTTTTGGCTGTATTCAACTGTGCTTGAAGTGCAATGTACTGTTCTACAGTACAAGAACAGCCAAGTCCTCCATCAAAAGGCAGGAGATTGTACTCCTACAGCTGCAATACGAGCTTTGCGATTTCTCCTATTTCCTTTTTCCACAAGTGCTTCATCTCCTCTCTCTTATACTGTCTGTCTGTACATTACACCAATCTTCTATAAAGAGGCTTGCTAGCCCCACACATGTGTGCTTGTCTGAGAAGCATTGTGTTAGTGACAGGCCTTTTATAACACTATTGGATAGTGATTACAGGACATACCCTCCTCTTCCTCCTCCTCATCCTCTTTACGAGGCTTTGTGGGATTCAGGCACTTCATTCAACTGCTCCACTGTTTATTTTATTCAGAGTACTTGAGGCCAAACACCTTATTTATCCAAAAGAGAATGAGCAGACTTGACATTAATCCTGTTTGCATTGTTACGTTATGTAATCTTGTGCATTCACACATCCAGGCATGCATCATGTTAATGCACTTTACTACTGCTGGATACTAGAGCCCGACCGATATGGGTTTTTTGGGGCCAATACCGATACCGATATTAGGGAGTAAAAAAAAGGCCGATACCGATGTGTCATATGTTCAAGTTACAACGTGCCCCTAAGATGTTACAATGTGTTCCACCTACGGGGCATGTTGTCACATTTCACTTCCATTTTTTTAGGGTAAATAAAGAAAAATGTATACACTGTAATTATGAAACAAAGCGATGTTATCTTGCGAACGCGCCGGCGGATCTTCACCAAATTCGGGGAATCCCTTCAGCTCTAGGAGCCCTCTCGAACGCCACCCTCCGCGTGTCGGTAGCCCCCCGGGATCGCTAGATCGGTCGGCGCCGGTCCGCGAATTTAACCACCCGTAACTCCCAAACCCCGGGGGCTATCCACGCTAATATCGGCAAAACGATATATCGGTCGGGCTCTACTGGATACCCTAATGTTAATGATCACTGGCCATAGCTTTTGAAAATATCACAAATGGTTAGTATTACCATATGTTACCTTGAATAAATGTTGCCATGAAAGTATGTTTTCAGCTGTCACGTCTCATCTGTAGGGGCCTTGTTTCATGATTCATGTTTTGCTTAGTACTAATGCAGTCAAATACAATTATTTTTGTTGTACAAATGTATGTTTACTTCATGTTCTTTAAACCCCTGTATATGTGCTTTCTTCCAGCCGCCCAGTTACATCACCACCATCGTGGTTCAGGTTCAGTGCACCAATGAGCTGGTGGGAACAGTTATTCTGCACGAAGTACGGATAGTGGTGAGGGACAGAAATGACAACACGCCTCGTTTCCAGCAGCCTCGTTACTATGTATCAGTTAATGAGGTGAGGCCTGATCACTTATGCACTGCCTCATTTACTTTGTGTCTCTGTCTCTGTCAATTCAGTTTCAATTGAATGTGCATGGTATGCAAATTTTGTGAGGTGAGTACTGTGTCTGACAATGCAGTGTGACCAATGAACCAGTAAGTAATTACAAAAATATATATATATTTTTGGAAGGAAATTGATGCTTTTGTTCAGCAATGATGCATTATCATGCTTAATTTATATGCTTAATTTATTTAAATGTATGCATTTAAATATTACATTTATAATATTACAAAATATGTATATTTCAGAAAAATGATTTTCTTTTGAGCTTTCTATTCATCAAAGAATTCTGCAAAAAAAGTCAGTTTCCACAAAAATATTAAGCAGTGCAATTGTTTTCAACATTGATAATAAAAATGTGTTTATTAAGATATGTTTCTTAAGCACCAAATCAGCATATTAGAATGATTTCTGAAGGATGCTGTTATAAACTAAATTTTGCTGGTTATTAGAAACTGACACAAAGCCTTTCGATATGTCCCACTCACTCTTTCAATAAGAAATACATCAAGAAAACTGCACTCATGAATGAATAGAGAGCAGAAAGTGAAGCCGACACATATGAAGTCATTTTATAGTCTGTTGACGTGCTCCATCAGTTATTCAGATCTAAAACCATCCCCTTTTGGCTTCGGCTCAAAATTATTCTTAAAATTATGCACGCACACACACGCTTGACCCTCTTCTCCACAAGTGCAGATATGAGGACTATTTTTAAACTTAATGGCTTTCATTTATTTGGAATACGTTTGAATATGTTCCGTGAGCGTGTATGTGTTGGGTGTGTAAAAGCTTGGCTTCTTTATGCTTGTCAATCTCTTTCCTCTCCTTGAAGTCAAATATGCTGTCATCATTTTCTTCCTGCTTTTATCCTCCTGTACATGCAAAACGAGAGAGAGAAATACAGTGAAGTGATGAAGTTAAGGGGGTGTGCGGCAGGAAGGGGAAAGTATCAGGTGGTATTTGCATTTGGGGGCGGATGTGATCACGTGAGTTGCTTTTGATCCAAAAGGCTGTGACTTGGTTCATGGGTTTTCTGGGTGATTTGGAGCCCCAGAGGCAGACTGGTCTTGTATGTGTGGGAGAGAGAGGTTTCACATGTGAATTTCAGTCCTCAAGAGATGCTGACATCGAGCTCAGAATTCCAAGCAAGATGAGATTAGCACTAGATTGTCAGGTTGTTTTCCAAAAATCCTTTTGGCTTCATGCCTGATGCGGGAAAGAGTCTGCAACGGTGTCTTCAATTATTCAATCTACCATGCTTGTGTCTTCAATTATTCAATCTACCATGCTTTAACACTGGCTCGTTGTGTTTTTGATGTTCTCCAGCACAGAGAAAATTGCAAGGGCCATTGTACAATTGTGGTCACAGAAAGACTTTCAAATGGCTGAATAAGGTTTTTTTTTTTTAAAACACTTGGTTTAAAACTGTTTTAGTATGAAATATTTTTTCGGTATTTTCACTTATAATTTTGAAAGTCTCTATATTTGCATTTAAAAATATATACAATATATTTTTATAGCTAAAAATAACTAAATATTTGTTGTAAAATACATTTGACAAATTGAAACAATATAATATA